GCAATCAACATCAAGAACTTCATCGTCAAAACGACATTTGCCTTGTGGAAGTGAGAGATTAGAAGCTCCGAAATCCGTTCTATCGAAAATGATTACTTTGTTATTGTAGAGAAGCTGCATATGCATTGCGGAAACACCAATTGATTCATGTAAAAGTACCCATTCACCATTTACATTTGATGGTATCAAAGGTGGATGAAATATAGTCGGAATAAGCTGTGAATTTCTACGATGATGGCGACGATTGTGACGATGGCGATGAGGTAATGAAGATGATGAAAGAATCAAGATTGTGAATAGAAATGAAAAAGATTGAATCTTGATCAATCCCATTGAATTGATGAAAACAGAGCAAAACAGAGTAAAGCAGAGCAATACAGAGTAAAACAGAGTTATGAGTATTTTATTTTAGCAGTTGTTGCGCTGATTAGTTTGAGTTTTTAACTAAATAAATGGAGTAATAGACGCAAAGAAAATTTAGCATGAATTGTTAAAACTACGAAAATTTCTCAATTTTATTTCTCTCCATGAATTTAGGGATTGTTGATATTGTCATGTAATATAAATAATTGAAAGAAGCACAAAAGAAAAATAAAAAAAATTGGTAATAATGCAACGTATATTTAAGACATTCTTGTTTATGGTTTTATCTTTAGACAAATTACAACTCTATTTATTTGTTTGGTAGTAATTTCAACTTATGTACAATTAGGGGACGTTTGATAATTGGTTAGGAGATATATTATGTATGTGTAATAAATTTTGTATAGGTAATATCATGTTTGATAAGTGCTTAAAATTATCTATAAAATTAATATGGTGTTCGATTTGGAATGTACTTGACTATTTTTTCTTAAGGGATGTGCATTATCTTACAAATTCACTTAATATGGAATAAGAGGAGTATTTGTTTGGTAGTATTTTTTAACATAGTAGTTAGAAGAAATATTATACATGTATTAGATTCTGCGTAAGTAATATCATGTTTGGTAGTTGGTTAGGACGACATATGTATAGAATTAATATAGTGTTTGATATGCAATTTAGAAATCTGAATAACTAATACATGTATAAGTTATAAGAGCATTTATGTATAATTTTATACAGGATAAAAACTAAAATAATTAATACATAAATAACTAAATCCTCTAATCACGGCATAAAATAATATAAAAATTTGATCAAAGCTAATTCATATATTACTAATATCTACATAATTCTATTAAGTTACCAAACAATTTGTAAATACAAGAATAATTCATTAATGAATAAAAATAATTAAAGATAGAATTATTCTTAATACACCAAATCAACTGATGAATATAAAATAATTTTAATATTATTAATACACTTTATTCAATAATATTACTATACATTCTATTAAATAACCCCTAATAAGTTGCTAGCAAACTTAATTAGTTGCACCCTTTTAATTTTGTTTTATATACATTCAACAACTTCCTAAAATAGAAAAAAAAACCTTTCCTTCTGCAATTTTAAACCTAATTAATTGCACTTATTTTTTTTGCTAATTTTTAGTAATTAAAGTTTCCCTAGCAGAGACATGACCATTATTTACGTAGAGCTCATTATTACATACTCATCATGGAGAGAGAAGCATTATTATACTATTAGATTATTTTAAAGATAGTTATAAGGGTATAAAATTTAACTCAAAAAAATATAATATAACTCACTAAACCTGGTCAAGTTTAAACAAATTGGATGAAAATATTCTTTCTTCATTTTTATCGATTAGAGAGGACATAGGAAAGATGATGTGACGATATGTGTAACCAGATCATAAATGTATCTTTAGAATTTTTACTTATTTAATTATGTTATAGTAGTCAAATACAAATATATCAAACTGAAGGAGTTAATTAACGGCATAAATTTATCAAAAAAGCAGAGATGATCAGATTAATTTGATATAAATTCATCAAGATTGATTTTTTTTTTCTTATGACGGTGAAGGATTTATCAAAAAAGATGATCAAATTAATTTGATAAAATATCAATTCGAATGATTTATCAATATATATAGATCTACTTATTTGTTCCTGAAGTTACCAATATAATGTAGATTCGAAGAATTTAAAAAAAATCTTCGTATCAATGATCAAAAGTTTTTCTAGATTGTTAGGCTTTTCTCTTTAGAAAATATATATTTCATATTTAATTGTACTATATATAATTATGACTATTTTTGTTTTATTTTATATAAAGACACAAAAATATCGAGCTGAATTTTGAAAAATACTATATATTTTGTAAGATATAATTAAATTTTTGTTTGATATAGGTAATTTAACAATAGACTAGTGACGGAATTCATAACTAATTCAATTTTTTTTATGTGAAAAATAAAAGAAAGGCTTGAATTTTGATAAGAAGTATGCAACACGAAAATCGAAGAATATCAACTTTCATAATTAATTACATATATGTCTTCTAGTGATAACAATTCATGAATCTATTGAAAAAAAACATATTGTACACTTATCGTTAGCTATTTTTTTCATCAATTTCCATTTTATCTAGCAACTCTGTTGATGATTTATTAATTGTGGATGATTCTTCCATTGCTAACAAAATTCTACCATCGCAAATGTGATCAATCACTAATGTCACATCCACACATACCTCTAACATCTCTGGAGTCATGATGCTTTGCAATTTGCGAGTCGTAAGTTCAACTATATTGTGATGTTGATTTTCAAACTCATTCTTAAAATGAGTAAGCACATCTGATATAACGCAATCTAGTATTTGATAGAGCTTGATATTGCAAAGATGAAGAGTGATTCGTACGACTTGGCTGAACCTACACATGTGCAACTCATCAATACGGATTCTAGATTATTGGGTTGTATATACCAAAAGTATCGTAGAATACTGAAATTAAAATAAATGGTGAAATAAGGTAAAGAAGAAGAATATGAAGAAGCAATTGGGGGAATAATCAATTTTTCTTGATCGGAAATTGGTTCAACGCGGATGAGCGAGTGCTCGGAGCAACCATGGAATACAAAGTCCATTGACAACATATTGCAAAGACTTGAGAGGAGAAATCAATATTGTCAATCGAGGCTTAGACAGATGGGAAGAAACCACTTAGCCGACACAAAAAATACTAGTTGGGTAACTTTTTATCGAATGAGATTTAACCCTTATCAGCTCAGCTCCCTATGAAATGGATTCTCTTGAATTCTTTGAGGTGTGTATTTATTGAGAGATTGACCAGTATTGGTTATTAAAATTGATTGTCTTTGATTCTTTGAGGTGTGTCATTATCTCATAGATTAATTATCAAAATGAATTATCTTCGATTCTTTGAGATGTGTTATAGCCGGAGAGATTGATTAGCATTGATTATGAAAATGGATTGTCTTTGATTCTTTGAGGTGTTTCTTTGTTGTAGAGATTGACTAGCATTGATAAAATTGAATTTTCGATTGGGGATAATCCTTTAGTATTATTTTTCTAAATGGTTAAAATATTTTTTAAATTATATGAAATTGAATAAAAATATCTTTAATTATTAATTTGATTTTTAAAAAAAATTGTGGTCAATATAGTTTGATAAAAAAATATTCTAACTACTGATAGTTTGTTCTTATTGTTATTTAATGAGTCAAAATATAAATATATCAATTATTTTTTTTCTTTTGAATTATTTAACTGTACTAAATATACAAGTGCCGTAACAGAGGATCGCGATCTTGCGATTACCACCGGGTTACAGTCTCTGACGCCCCCACACCATTGCGACAGAACGAAGCTTACCCATCAGCCTACTTTGCCAAATCATGATTATTTTTATTTTATTTTGAATAAACCCATAAAAATATCGAGATGAATATTGATAAATACTTATAAAATATAGTTTGATAAATAATTATAAAATATAGTTATACGAATAATTCCAAAAACCTCTCTCAAAACTCTTTCAGCACTTTTAATCAACTCAATTAATAAATCCCGATTAATTGATCTAATTATTCATCTTTTCATTTTTAATCCTTACACTCTTTTGGTGAATTCGAAATAGAACGTTCTAATTGTTTCAACAACTTTGGGCTAAAGCTGAAGGTTAGCCACTAAAAAATGAGGAAGTGGAAGAAGAACGTGAAATCATATTTAAAGAGAAAATTAGGGAGGAATTTCGAGTAAAAACGGAGTTATTTATTTATTATTAAAAAAAATTGTAATAGAAAAGATGTTCGAAAAATCATAATTAATTAAATGGGTTTAGTATTAATAGAATAAATTAGTCAAATTATAATTTTCAAATATTAATTGTAAATAGTATAAAAGAATTGTTACAAACAAAAAAACAATCAAAATAAGAAACGTAAGCATAGCTAGCGTTTGATCATATATTTCCAAATATTTTTGGTAAATATTGTTTGGGTGAAAGTTTCACCATGTGTTTGGCCACATAGTACTTCGCAAACATATTTCACTTTTTTAAGAAATATGATAGAAACACATAGGTTTGTATTACATAGCAAGATAGAAACGTGTTGACGTAACAAGATTCATGACTTCCGCAACAAGTCAATTGGATCTTTGTTGCAGCAATAACAAGTAGTGTCCATGACATTGAAGCAATGTGGTAGTTCAGAGTAAGTGCAACAAGCATCATTCCATACATCGTGAAGTAAACGAAACACATGACTGTGTTACCCTGAGATGATTGTTTGTCAATTTCATCAATAACTATATCATCACTTTCATATCCACTGAATATGTCATCACTGCTTTGATATTCACGTCAAAAATTATGTATTACAGTGCAAACAACTACTGTAGAGGGTGTTTTTGTAAAAAATAAAAGTTTGGTGTAGAATTTGATTTTTTAAAAGCTCCCAAATAATGAAATTTTGATCCAAATACTAATTTTTTCTAGTACATGAAAAACACTTGACAAATTAATTATATGTCTCCTAGCTATAGTTTTGGCATTAGATTGCTGATCCTTTAGGTAGCCTTGTCTAATCTGTGGGCATCTGAAAGCGGCAAAGCGGACAGTAATGGCTATTCTCTAACCACTTTGTAATGCAATCTCCATGAAACATATGCGAGCAAGGCAAACGCAGTACTTGAGTTTCCTCCCCTATCTCATCTAGACATACCAAACAATCATCGTTGTTATTTCTTTCATCAGTTTCAATTGGCTCTAGCAACTCTATTGATGATATATTAATTGTGGATGATTCTTCCATTGCTAACAAAATTCTACCATAGCAATTGTGATCAATCACTAATGTCACATCCACACATACCTCTAACATCTGTGGAGTCATGATGCTTTGCAATTTGCGAGTTGTAAGATCAATTATAGTGTTATATTGATTTTCAAACTCATTCTTAAAATGAGTAAGCACATCTGATATAGCGCGATCTAATCTTTGATAGAGCTTGATATCGGAACGATGAAGAATGATTTCGTATGACTTGGCTGAACCTACACATGTGCAACCCATCAATACGGATTCTAGATTATTGGGTTGTGTATACCAAAAGTGTCGTAGAATACTGAAATTAAAATAAATGGTGAAATAAGGTAAAGAAGAAGAATATGAAGAAGCAATTGGGGGAATAATCAATTTTTCTTGATCGGAAATTGGTTCAACGCGGACGAGGGAGTGCTCGGAGCAACCATGGCATACAAAGTCCGTTGGCAACATATTGCAAAGACTTTGAGAGGAGAAATCGATATTTACTATCAATCTCTAAGGCGGGTTTCTGCTGAAAATGGACTAGGGTTCGTGTCCAAAGGTGAATAAAGTCAAGCCAGACCCTTCTGGTTTATTTATAATAAAAATATTTATGTTACTAGCAAAACCCAAATTTATCATGAAAAGGATTTGTGAGTTTATTCATAATATTACTAGCAAATCTAAACTTACTAGAAAAAGGATTAGTGAGTACGATTACGTGACAATTGTTTTCCTTTTCCACACTTGAGAAGGTAAACTTTTTGTGTTCTTTTTTCCCCACGTCATTGAGTCCCAAATTATTTATCCTTCAAATACCTATTTTACAAATATTAATTGTATTTTTATTTAGGGAAAAAAAGTAATTACAAAAATTTCATACTTACCAGTGTGACTTCCCTGAAGCAACTGAAGTGTAGGTTCAAATTTCACAAAAGCCAAAAAGCTATGTGGTTTCTTTCCATCTGTCTACATCTCGATTGACAAAATTCCGTGAAACATATGGTGGTAGAAAATGAGTATCCTGAGGAAAAGTTAAAGTGCACGCAAGATGGTCAGAACACAACTATTACCAATGTATTTAAAAGCGAAGCACACAAAAAGGTAACAATGTTCATGAGGCATAAAGTGATAAGCGAGAAGTGAGGTGCGCGATTTAAGAACAAAAAATACTTTTAACATATATGGATTTAGTACTATGATAATCAAATTGTAATTAGGATAACTAAATTCAACATACAATATAGAATAATGTCGATATTAATCCGACTCCTCAAAATTGAGATTCAAAGAACTAACCTTTTGAGAGGCTTCTACTGCAATCAAAATATAGTCTAGGAAGTACCTGTGATTGGAACAGTTAACCATTGCTCAAGAGCTTCACAACTGAATTCACTATAAGACCAGTTCTTGAAGGATGCAAATGGAGGGATTGGCTTTGACTGCATTTCGGGACTCTGGTTATCCCACATCAGCGCTTGTCTACCTTTCATATCCCGTAGGAGGCCAGTTATTCCGAGCTACTGATAAGTTAAACAGATTCAACTAGTATGTAAGCATATAAGAACCAAATTCGACGACTTCCAGAATCTTGAGAGTTGAAATATAACAAACTTTCTCATGGTTGAACTAAGCATTACAGTTAAATTAAGAGAGACATTCACGTGGTTAATCTAGAGGAATATCAGAAAATACTAACCATAATAAATCACATTCAAAATCGATACCCAATGTCACAGTGATTTGAGCTTTATCATATAATAAGATTGTACATGTTTCCTGTTTTAGTTTCTGCGTCAATATTCAAATTTGACCATCTTAATTGAAGGAAGCTGACCTGAAAGGACTTCACAGACAACTGCTTAGGGAACACATGGACCATGAAGGTTGTCACACTAAAAGCACGCAAGCTTGAACCAACTCTTCGTACTGCCTGGCTTCCAAGTTAGTTCACAGGATCTGCGACAAGTGGCAAGGTTAATGAAGTCAATTGTGTGCTTGCACTCAGAAATCTCATCCGTTGCTTCATCTTTGAACCACCAACATCTTTAACATCGATTTTGGATTTCCTCGTGCAAGGAATGTTGGAGCAGTGATTGGAGTAAAAATAAGAACGAGAGCCAGTTCATTCAGATTAGGCATAAGATCCAATAGTAGTCTGTTCTACCAGTTTTAGCATATACAGGATGTTAGATTATGTCACTCCTACAGTACTGTATCCTGGTAGTTTCTCGAGTCCCCTTTCATCAATTGTTTCTCTGATTCTTTCAGCGTCGTCCCATCTTCCTTGTCTAGCATAAAGGTTGGACAAAATCACAAAAGGAACAGGGTTTTCTGGCTCCAATTCTGAGAGCTTTTTAGTCATTTCTTCTCCCATCTTGGCATTAGAGAATTGCTCAGAAGCTGCTAGTAAAGAAGCAAAAACAGATGCAGAAGGCTCGGGAATGAGCTGTAGTAGTTCTCTAGCTTCATCCAGCCGACCAGATCGAGCAAGTAGATCAACCATAATATTAAGCTGCTTTAGAGTTGGGATTAAGCCAAAATCTGTGATCATCAAGCTAAAAACTTGCCATGCTTTCTCCAATTTTCCAGTGTGGCTGCACACAGACAAGATGCAATTCAAAGTTGCTGAATTTGGTTGTACTTTCTCCATTAGCATCAGAGAGAACATCTCAAAAGCAGCTTCACCTTCCCCGTTCCTTCCAAACCCTGAAATCATTACATTCCAGATAGCAGGATCATCATATTTTACTTCCAACTGATCAAAAACCTTCCTTGCCAAAGGAAATTGTCCACACTTCATGTACATATCAATGATTGCGGTGACAATAAATTCATCAATAATGGTTTCCGTCCTAAAAATATATCCGTGAATCTCTTGGCCGAAACAGAGTGAGGATAGAGATGAGCACACCATCAGAAGACTAGTAATAGTCTTCACACTGGGAACGACACCGGCAGAAAGCATTTTCCTGAAGAACTTAAAAGCTTCACTCTCTTTTTGCAGCAGCGAAAATCCAGTGATCATTGAATTCCATGCTGCTGAATCTGGTTGCAATCCTTCCAATTCTAATTCCACGAAAAGCTCCACAGCTTTCTCTGTTTGCTCATTTAACATCATTCCAGCAATCATCGAATTCCATGTTATCAAATTCCTGTTGCCACCCAGCTCTTTGAAGATTTCATATGCACATAACCAGCAACAGCATTTCGAATACATGTCTACAAGTGCAGTTCCCACCATCGTACGAGCTTGTAACTCAATTTTCACAATAAGTCCATGAACTTGCCTACCAAACTTCACATTCTTAAGATTAGCAGTAGCAGAGAGAACCGATACTAAAGTCACTTCATTCGGTTCTTCGTGTAGTAACATCTTCTTAAACACATCCAAAACCACTTCCTCCACCCCATTTCGCAACATCCCTGAAATAAATGCATTCCAGCACACCACATTCTTATTCTTAACCAATCCAAACAACCTCGTCGCAGAAACACAATCAACACAATTCAAATACATACTCAAAATCGATGTAACTACATATACATCCATTTCCACACCAATCTTTATACCCCAACAATGCATTTGAACACCATGGTTAATATTCACACACCCTGACAAAACACTAGCTATAGTAACCGAATCCGGCCTAATCAGTAAACCACTAAACAACCCAAACATCCGAAAAGCATCAACATGACACCCATTTTGAGAAACCCCAGAAATGATTGCATTTAACGAAGCAATATTTGGTTGAGGAATTTCATCGAACACCTTCAAGGCACTATCCACTAAGGCAAATTTCATGTACATGTCAGTAAGCGATGTGGCTGCATATACATCGGTGTTAAACCCGTGCTTTATCAAATGGCTATGAAGTACTTGACCTTGTGGTATAGTTCTTAGCTTTGCACAAGCTTTGAAGAGACAAGGGAAGGTGAATTTGGTGGGAGATAAAGAAGAGTAATGGAGTTGGGAATACAAATTAATGGCTTCTTTGTAAAGTCCATTGGCTACCAATTTTGTTATTTGATTCTTCATGGATTGTTCCCTTCATAGTAACATTAAACACTGAATCAATACTCTGAGGATGGAAACAATTGTGAGCTGAATATGCAGTTGCGGAGTTGAGATTTTTATTAAGCTATTCAAAATATGAAGCTGGGCTAGTGGTCAATGAAGCCATTGAGAATTCTGAGAGCTCGGGTGCAAAATTTAGCGGAGACAAAAAAAACACTAGCTGGGTAACTTTTTATGGAATGAGATTTAACCCTTACTAGTTCAGCCCATATGAAATGAATTCTCTTCGATTCTTTGAGGTGTATATTTATCGAGAGACTGACCAGTAATTGTCTTTGATTTTTTGAGGTGTGTAGTTGTAATTATCAAAATGATTTATCTTTGATTCTTTGAGATGTGTTATCGTCCAAGAGATTGATTAGCATTGATTATGAAAAAGGATTGTCTTCGATTCTTTGAGGTGTTTCTTTGTTGGAGAGATTGACTAGCATTGATAAAAAATTTGTTGGAGAGATTGACTAGCATTGATAAAATTGAATTTTCGGTTGGGGACAATATTTTAGTATTATTTTTCTGAGGCATAATACCTAAGCATAACCTTTAACTTGTCTTTAACGAACAACTAAGCCTTCCAACTTTGAATGTGCACAAGTAGACACTTAAACTTGTATAAAATTGAATAAGTAGACACATTTGTTCTACATGATATAATACACATAGGATGTCATGTAGGACAAGAAATTGCCTTGTAGGGTGCCATGTAGGACGAATGTGTCAATTTGTTCAATTTTATACAAGTTTAAGTGTCTACTTGTGCACA